TCTCTAACAAGACATTGGGTCAAGTCACTAATCAAAAGAATCAAAAACCGAATATGAAACATCCTTATTGATCATCTTTTCACTTTTCTCATTTGATGCCTCATTTACAATAATGAAATCATCCTCTAAAAGAATGACTTGAAAAGAAATGAAAGAGATGATTTTGTTCATTTCATCCACGGTCTTGAAAATAAAATCAATGATGAGTGGCCTTGCACTTGGCAAGGCAAAGTCTTTTAAAGACTCAATTGGGATATCAAGAAACACATTCTCTTCATTTTTTTCCTCTTCCTCAAAAATCACCATCTCCTTACCTTCCAAGTTAGCTAAGGAGTCCATTAGAGAGTTCATTTCATTTTTAGAGCTTCCAAGGTTTAAACCACAATTTTTATATATTTCAAAATGGCATGTCTCAAGAGGGTCTTTGGAGATAATAGAAGGAAGGTTCTCTTCAACAAGTTTCTCCTCCTTCTCTCCTACCTCTATAGTGGTCAACATTTCCTCACTCTCTAAAGTATCAAAGGCCGAGATAAAATCATGATCAAAACAAGGAAAGTCCTTATTAATCATGTTGTGCTTTATTGGACTAGCCACTAACTCATTTGCCATTTCTTTCTCTATACAAGATAGAGTGCTTGGCATTAGCTCACTTGCTACTTCTTCCTCTTCACTCTCATCATCCTCATTTATATAAATTGAAGTTCTTGCCATTTTTTCATTTGCCTCTTCCTCCTCCTCTTGACGAGAATTAATACTTGCAATTTGCTCAACTTGAGCTTCAAGCTTGGCTAAAATTTAAGAATGTGAAAGGATACGTTGAGTTTGTGAATTAAACCCATCAAGTAGAGCTAACATTATTTCTTGAAACTCGGGTAGATAAGGTGATAGAGGTGGTTCTTCGTAAAATGGTGGGGGAGGGTAATAGTCATAAGGAGGATCATGAAAATGACTAAGTCCATTGTCAAATGATGATGTTTGAAATGCATTGAACTCAATCTCATAAGGATCAAAATATGGTGGAGGGATATAAGGTGAAGGGAAGTAATTTTCCCCCAAACTTGGATCAAACAATGGCTCCATTCACATTCAAAATCCAAATGCAACAAATATTGGCCTTCACACGGGTCGATGCTTGGACAAAAATTTAAACAATATAATGAGCCTCAACAAGGGCTATCACAAGCATGCAAAGAAGTGAAACAATTAAACTACGAGATTTTCAAGAAATGCTCACCAAGGTCCTTGAGCAACTTCAAACTCCAATGCTAGCTTTAAGCTCCAATGATTGCTTTAAGATCCAATATTTGCCTTTCTTGTAGTCAAGTACCTAATTGAACAAATAATATCAAGAATGAGAAAAGAATATTAATGAGTGTAGAATTATAGATCCTGTCTTTGTTTTTCTACACTTCGTGCAAAAATAAGAAAAACCTGCAAAAACTAAATTAAAGATAGTATAGAATAAGTAGGGTTGAACCATACAAGATTTAAACTCGTGAATCAAAATTAAAACCAAAATTTAAGGAAGAATAACTTTTAAAACAATTTATTGATTTATTACTAATAAACTAAAAATAAAATAAATGAATAAGACAAAATAAATTCTGATCAAATAATAAGAAAAATCTCAAGGAAAGAATCCACCACCACAGCTTACTATAAATAAATTTGTTTATTTCTCTGTATGTAAATTTTCCTATTATAAGCAAATCACTCCACCAGTCCAATTACAACTTGGAAAGATGAAGGAAAATAATAGCGTGAAAAAATAATTGCTTGAGAACATATTTTACTTAATCTGATATATCTTTGGTAAATAGAAATAGGCATTTTCCGAATTACCATTAATTGGCAAACACGAAGAATCCTGTTTCTAATTGTTTTATCAAAATAAGAACACAGAATAGAAATGTAAAATAATGTTCTAAAGAGAAAATTTCATAAAAGAATTAAACTAAATTTACTTATATTTCAGCCATGGTGGCTTCATCACTCCCTTGAGAAGGGGTGTTTAAGCTAGCAAAATAAAAAAACAAAATAAAGAAATAAAAACAATTTTTCATAACAAAAATTATAAGAAATAAATTGAAGACAAAAATTCTCTCTAACTTTTATTATTTTATCTCACTAACCATGTATATCTCTCTTCCTCTACATATGTCCCTATTTATAGAGTTTAGAATAGAACGATTGGGAGAAAAAAATTCTAATTACAGAAGTGAAAATAAAATAAAATCTTCCTAAAATCTTGTTATTTTCCAATTTAGCTTGATATTTTTGACTTGACGTGCTTTCTAATCTGTCTTAATATATTTTCAATTTGGCTTGATCTTTGCTGATTTGATGGAAAGTCAAATTTGAATTTGACTAATCGTATAATCTCATAAACTTGTTATTTTTGTCTCTTTTCTTCTAATTCTGAAATCAACCCCTAGAAAACATGAAAAGCAGGGATAAAAACATTTATCTCATAAAAAATATTAATTAATCATTTATTATTAAGTATAAAATAACAATTTTTGTGCACTTATCAAATATACAAAAGAAAATAAAATAAAAATAGAAGCAATTAAATGAACACTATTATCTAGTCTAATTCCAACAAAACCGTTAATCCCGGGCAACGGTGCCAAAATAATGTAGTGAATGTGCAGTTCAAGAAAAGCCTTTTAGGTCAAGTTTAAATTTATAAAAACCACTACCACCACTACTACTAAAGCAGCAAGAGTGAGTAGGGATCGTCCCAAGGGATTATATGTGTTGGAATTTAACTTCGACTCTAGTGGATTACAAAATTGGAAAGGAGAGATTGATTGTTGGATTACACTAAAATTCAATTAATTAAAATGTAATTAAATTAAGCTAAAGTGAGATAGAGATTTAAGAGATGAGAAGTGAGGTCTTGGGGTCCATTGGAATCGCCACCAAGCTCATTCACCAAACCACACACTTTCAACTAATTTGGGGAAAACATTCTTGTGAACAAAATGCGACTACCAATTGCAATATTAAGCATAGACCATCAAATTCAATAATGATTTGCCTACCTAACCAACAATTAAACTAAGTGTAGAATAACCCATCAATTCTAAGCATAACCCATCAAACAAGTCACAATTGTAGCACACACCAATCTAGAGAATCATGAAATTTGCAATAATAAGCCATGGAATATCAAATCAAGTAAAGATTGTCTACCTACCTACAAGCATAAATTAAATTATAGAATAACCCATCAAGCATAAGAATAATCTATTAAATTAATTGGCAAAACCATTCAATGAATACCATGCATAGCCATCACTAGATTCTCAATCAACCACACATAGACATACAATTAATATAGAAAAACTAGTGTAGAGATCAATTCCCCAAATAATCACACATAAGACAACATGTAATTACATAGAGAAATAGATGGAAGAATTAAACCATATGAATCATGTAAGACATAATTCCCAATTTAATCACACATAGACATGTAAATAAACTAGAGAATTAATAGGAAGAATTAAATCATAGAAATCATAGAAATATACCATGATTCATTTTATTCATAAGGCTATAACACTAATCACAAGATATTATTCCCCAAAAATTATGAAAAAGTTAGAGGTTTAGATTACAAACTTGGGGCTTATCCAAGCCCCAAGGAGGAGTCTAGCCAATCATGGATGAGATGGATGTGATCTTGGAACCTTCAAGAGCAATCCCCAAATATGGCTCCTTCTTCCTCTTCTTCTTTTTTGAATTCTAGAGAGAGAGTGTGTATAGATCTAAAGATGTGTTATTGGTGCCTCCACTCTTATCTTTTATTCTAACTCTAATCTCTAACTTTTCTAGAGAGAGAAAATAAAAATTACAATGTAAAAATAAAATAATGAAAAAGCACCTCTACAAAATGGTTCAATTCCCTTTAAATACAAGGTCGTTTTCTTAGTCACTATGTCAGAAATACAGCCCCAAAAATGTGATAACCCGAATTTTTAAGAGTTGAAATTTATATTTTATTTCATGACTTTTTAGTTGTCATTGATTATTTTATTATTTAAATTGAAGACTTACAGTTTATTATTTTTTGCTTTCATACTATATTAATGAATAGAGATGCTGCTAGCCAATTTAAAGAGAGAAGAAGAAATGTGTGGCTGCCGAATGAAACAAAAGGAAATAGAATTGTGATTTTAATGGTTCATTTGCGGATCCCACTAATGAGTTAGTGATGGGTTTTATTGCATTGATATATATATATATATATATGGCGTATTTGTTGAAGCAAGAGCAGATGGAAGGATAAGGCAGCCGAATTAATGAGAAAGGAAAATAGGATATTTAATTGACTATAGTACTGATACTTTTGTGGAAGTTTAGTTCTTATATAAATATATTGATATATATATATTATGCAATTGGATGAGATTTTGAGATTTAAGAAGCTTAATTTGTTATTTTTGCTTAGAGATATATATATATATATATATATATATATATATATATATAAATTGTCTGATTTAGATAACAGAAGGCAGGTGGGCTGAATGCTTTAGCCGAAATAGAGGAAAAATGGAAAAAAAGTAATGTCATGATATTTTCGTGGGACCCACATGATAGATATTTAAAGAGAGAATGGAATTTGGTTTTGTATACAGTGTATATGTATATATTTGTGTTTCTTGTCTGATAGAGGGGAACCAGGCAAAATGGGAGGAGAAAGAAAAATCGGAAATGGCTATGGGCGGGACCCACTTGAATAATTGTTTGGCCAAATCTCTTTTGGTTTAGATTTCTTCACGTGGTGATTTGTTGTTTGCTACAGTGATTTGTCTAATGAAAAGAAAGTAATGTTATAGATAAGGGAGAAGGTGGCGGGTCCATTACTGATTTTTTTGCCTTTGATATTTTATTTGGCATGGTGAGCTTTTGTATGAAACATGTCGGTGGAATTGCATTATAAATAGAGTGTTGTGCACAGTTGGGTATTAATTGAAAGAAAACAGAGGTGAAAAATAGAGGAAACTTACATAGAGAGTTTGAGGATAGAGCTGAGATAGACAGTGAGGGCCGAAGGTTTGAGGCTCCATTAATTCAGATATTCATTTTACAAGGTAGGGATATCATACCTTGAATGGCTTGGATGATTTGTTTCAAATATTTTATGATTGATTTTTTGTTAAATTGCATATACGTATTTTTGTTTAAATGTATATGTATATTTTTGTGAAATTAATTTTGCATGAAACTTCTTGAAATCCTTGTTATGGTTTTTCCTACTGGGACTTTCTCGTCTCACCCCCCTACAGTTTCAGGTGCCGAGGATGAACTTGGACTGCTAGTAGCGGGCTTAGGTAGAAGAGTTCGTGTTGAGGAATTAATTTAAATTATTTAGAGATGTTATATTTTAATTTTGAGGAAATTGATTTATATCAATGAAATTATATTTCTTTTTGAGATCCTGGGTGTAATACTGATGTATTTTGATTTGAATAAATCAAGCAATTTATTTAGGAAATTCGGGGCGTGACAGAAAATATCTAATCCAGCAACTATGTGGTAAGTGGAGTTCGGGTGCGCGGGAATAAGATAGCTCTCTGTCAGCATATTTTCGATCGATCCAAAATATCTTCGATCAATCAGAGTTCGATCAATCCAACTTTTCTTTGATCGATCAGAGTTTGATCTATCTCACTTTTCTCCGATCGATCTCACTTGGCAATTTTCAGCATCAGCCTCCTTTTCGCTCCAGATTAGCCTCATTTTGCTCTAGATTCTCACCAAGACTTAGCTTGACTCCAAAAAGGCCTTAAGAAACCATTTTTAGCCTGTTTTAACATTATTGACCTGAAATAGACAAAAACATGAAATTAGACTAAAACGGGAAAATAAGATTGATAAATGGACTAAAATACCCTCGCTTTGGTGCTAAAATGCGGTACATTTGAGTGCTCATCAAAAGACAAAGTTCAAGGCATTAGGAAAGCCCCTACTTCAAATTATGCTTGCAAAACAAGCCCTGATGTCAACCCAAAATCTATAATCCTCTAAATGTTAGCAAGAACGGTGTCAAATGAAAGCCCTTAACGTGTAGAACAAGTTTCTCTTGCAAAATCTCACTTTGAGTCTCTCAAAACTTGGATTGAAGTGTTTGAGTATATAGTTGTAGAGAGATAAATTAACACCTAGTGAGAGAGAGAGCTAGTCGAGATTGAGAGGAAAAGAAGATGGTTTGGCAAGTCTTCAAACAAAAAAATGAGATGTGGTCCTCATCATGCCAAGTGTCACCATCTGGTCCAATTACCTTTTTGCCAAAATTACTTAAATGCCCATTGGCTTCAATGCAATGACAAAAATGCCCCCAAAATATCCCACCATTGAATAGATATAGATATAAACATATGTGTGTGAAATGTCCAAAATACCCCTCAATGAAAATGACAATCGGAAGAGGTTCCCGAACTCAGAAATCATCCTTATTTCTGAAAAATCCTAAATATAACCTTGTCATTTTAAAGCGAGTTAAAAATAAATCAAAATGTATTTCTAAAACCATCAGCTCGAGAAATGACCTAAATGGCCCTCAGGGCCCGCGTGGCATGCAAAACGATGCACAAAAAAAATTAAAATAAAAATTAGAAAAAAATCCAAAAAACTTCCGAGATGTTACATAGACAAATTGATGACAACATCCTTTGAGCTTAGGAACTTCTTAATGGCTATCACAGACACCCATCCTCACCAAGATGTGCCATCAAAATTGACATCAAGAAAGCATTTGATTCAGTCTCCTGGGACTTTCTATTTGATTCCCGCAGACTGTTTGGTTTTCCTATTACATTCTTGAACTGGGTACACGTATGTGTTACCACTCCATCCTTCACCATCTCTGCAAATGGGGAGTTCAATGGTTTTTTCAAAAGCATTAAAAGGCTGAGGCAAGGTGATCCACTATCACCTTTCTTATTTGTAATTATCATGCAAGTTTTCTCTTCAATTGTCAACAAATTCACCACAGATCTACCCTTTAAATACCATTAGAGATGCAAAGAACTTTCCTTGACACACCTCATATTTGCTGATGACCTAATGCTCTTCTCTCAAGCTAATTTAGACTCATTGCAAACCCTAAAGCATGTTATTGACACCTTCTCTATTCTATCTGGATTTCCCACAAACTAGAGCAAAAGTTGTGTGTTTTTATCAGGTGTTAGCAGCAAGTTAGAATCTTCTATCCTTACCTTTCTTGGGTTTGATAAAGGCACTCTTCTTGTAAGGTACATTGGTGTGCCACTTATCTCCACCACGCTTAGATCCAATGATTGCAGCAAGCTTATTGACATGATTACTTCAAGAATTTCTCTCTAGACAAGTAAAAATATTTCATTTGCTGGAAGATTGCATCTTATTAGGGCAGTTCTATTCTCTACACAAATGTATTGGAGCTTTAAGTTCATCTTACCAATGAGTATAATACATAAACTAGAAGGCACTTTTAGACTTTTCTGTGGTATGGTCCCACCTTAAAGAAATTTGGGGGGAAAGTTGGATAGGAGAAATGTTGTCTGCCTAAAAGATGTGGTGGTTTGGGGTTCCCTAATCTCCATACATAGAACTGTATTGTTTTTATAAATAAACTATGGTAGATCATCAACTCAAATGATATGTTATGGGTTCAATCGATCAACATATATCTCCTAAAAGGTAAAAGTATTTAGGAGGTTAAAATTCTTGGCCAATGCTCTTGGAGCTGGAGGAAAATCCTTAGTGTAAAGGATGATGTCTGGCGTCTTGTCAAGCATGAAATTGGAGATGAAAAAATCTCAAATTTTTTATTTGACAAGTGGTTCTCTCTTGGCCTCTACATCTTCTTGTTTCCCCTTAACAAATGTCAAACTTTCTACATAACAGTAAGATCAAGCTATGTTTCTTTGTTACCAACTTTACATGGTCCTTCCCACAATCCATCACCAACATCCTACCACAGCTATTATGCACCCACAACCTTCCCATACCTAATTCACTAAAACCTGATAAATTTATCAGGTGTCCATCCCCCTCAGGTGAATTCTCCATTGGCCATACAATGAAACACCACAATAAAGATATGGCATCACTTTAGTGGCCTCATTTGGTCTGGCTAAGCCATCAATACCAACACTCCTTTACACTTTGGGTTGCCATACCACATCGTCATCCAACATTGAATAGGAGGTGCACTACCCACATTAATGAAACAATTTGTATCCTCTGCAATAGAGAACTGGAATCTTATGATCATCTATTTTTCAAGTGTCAATTTGTCAAGTCTTTGTGGACAATTACAAGCACGTTGCCAATACCACATTCTTTTATCCACTTGGTTAGACTCCACTGCACTTGCCATCATTGGAAAGCTATTTTAATGACCCTATCATTTTCTTTCCTTTCTTTTTCCTGTTTTTAAGGATTTTCTTTTTCCATTGATGTTTTCTTTTCTGAGTGTGGGTTTTGTCCCTTTGGGTCATCTTGAGTGCTCTGGAAGTAGCCCCCGACACTCATTCCTTTGTTTTTTGTATTGTCCTTGTGAAGACCGTATCATCTTCTCTCTTTTCCAACATTTTTCTTCTTTTTTTTTTTTTTTCCCCCATTTATTGTTTCCTTTCGCGTAACCTCACGGTTTGCGCTCGGATTTGATTTCGGCTCTGTATGCATCCATTACATTTGATTTCTATGAAATGCGTAGTGATAAGTGCTAAAAGGTGCGCATTTAAACCCCTTAATCTTGAATGTTCTAGGACCTTATTTTATCTTATTTTCCTGTTTTAGTACTAATTTAATGTTTTTATCTATTTTTAGGTCAATAAGGTTCAAACGGGCTAATTTTGGTCCATTAAGGCTTTTTTGGAGTCAAACTAAGTCTTAGTGAGAAGCTGGAGAAAAGAAGGCTAATGCTGAAAACTGCTTAGTTGTAAGGATCGTGTAAACGATCGAACCCTGAACGATCATATCTCTGAACAATCGAACCAACTCTGAATGATCGAACCATACCTCTAAATGATCACACCATACCTCTGAACGATCACACTGTTGGTTGGATCGATCAAACTGTTCGTAGAAGTTATAAAAAAGGAGATTTAAAGCTCATTTCAAACCAACTCGGGCTGTGCTTGAAAAGGGAGATCCTAAGGCCGAGTTTTTCACATTTTTAGGTTCTAAAAGCCTTGTATATAAGAGGGATTGAACCATTTTTGTAGGAGATTCATATTTCACATTGTAATTTCTATATTTTCATTAGTTTTCTCTATTTAGAAAGTTAGAGATTAGAGTTAGAATAAAAGAGGGAAGTGGAGGCATATCTCAAGAACACATCTCTAGATCCATATATTTCCTATCTCTAGAACTTCAAAGAAGAAGAAGAAGAAAAAGAAGATGGAGCCATATTTGGAGCTTGCCCTTGAGGGATTCATGACCACATCCACTTCCTCTATGATTGGCTAAGCTCTTCACTTAGGGCTTGGATGAGCCCTAAGTCTTGTGTAATCTAAACCCTTGTATTTCTATTTTTGGGAATTTATATATATATTGTTGTGATTAGTGGTTAACCTAGTGATTGTTGATTTAATTCTTCCTAGTGATTCTTTATTTTAATTACATGTTGTCTTATATGTGATTATTTGGGAATTGATCTCTACACTAGATTCTCTATATTGGTTACATGTCTATATGTGATTAATTAAGTATTTAGTGATGGCTAAGCATGGTTTTCATTGAATGTGTTTGTAAATTAATTTGATGGATTATGCTTACACTTGATAGGTTGTTCTACAATTTAATTCATGTTTGTAGGTAGGTAGATAATCTTTGCTTGGTTTGATACTCCACACTTATTATTACAAATTCCATGATTCTCTAGATTAATGTGTGCTCTCATTAGATACATTTGTTAATTAATTGATGGATTATGCCTTTGTCTTGGTAGGTTACTTGTTTACTTGTTGGTTAGATAGACAATTCACTCTTGCATTAGATTGTTCACACTTTTACAGGCAAATTGTGTTTATGTTTGTGGCCATATCTAGATTGCAAGAATGTATTCCCCATTAATGGAAAGCAAGTGGTTAATTACACGAGCTTACTAGTTATTCCAACACCGTAAGACCTTTCTTCATATCCCTCAAATCCCTATCTCTCACTAGTTTACTTTAATTGCATTTTAATTAATTGCATCTTAGTGTAATCAAACAACCAACCCTCCTTTATAATCTTTTGATACACTAGAGTCGAAGTTAAATTCCAACACGAATAATCCCTGCAGACGATCCCTACTCACTATACTTCATTAGTTGTAGTAGTGGTTTTTATAAATGTAAATTTGACTAGAAAGGCTTCCGAAACCATATTCATATTTTGACCTTGCGAAGTGACCTCTCGCATTAAAAAGTTCATTTTCTAAACATAAAGAAAGGGGCTCATCACG